TCGCTCGTCTCTCGATACGTGACATGTAAATTCGTGCGCCGCGCCGAAGCTCTTCTTTTTTATTCTGCATGCTCGCGTCCTTTCACCGTGCCCCAACCCCGTCGTTTTATACTCCCTGTCGTTGCACTCGTCCGCGGACGACGCAACGGCCGATATTCGTGAAACGCGCTACGTGACTCCCGTTTCGTGGCGAAACAAAGCTTAAACAGCGACCGCTGCATGGCTTTCGTGTGTGTGGTCGTGTGTGTAGTCACGTGTTTTGGTCTGTCTCCAGTTCTTTTAGAAGTTTCCACACTGGCTGTGTATTCGCGCGAAAAATCATCAAACGCTCGATTCCGCGCGTTTATTCACCTCTTATTTGAGATAATTAGTCTCTTTCTTCTTGATTGCTCTAATATATCCGTTGGTCTGTTCTCGAGCACGGTCAGAGTTGCTTAATCTCAGGTAGAGAGGAAACAGCCTATTAGCTGTAGTTTTGTTTAGTATGTTCATAATTTATTGTAAATTCCGATTTCACTCTTATGTATATGTGTTGTGCTTAAGTTATTCTATTCTCGTGTTGAAATTCGCTTTGTGCTCACATGGGAAAAGGCTGCAAAGGCAAATTTCTTCTTAGATCGCGGTTTTCGAGGCGGCGGATCTTAAGGCGGAATTAGAGGTAGCGAGATTAGAAGGTTGCCGCGGATGTTCGCGGCGAGCTGTGAGAGGCTGCTGCGCGCCCCTCGTCGTGCACAGCTCCTAGCCGCCCTCAGACTTTCAAATATTCATTTTCTCATACCGGCCGCGCGCACGGGTGCATCTGCTCCCGCCCGATTCGGCGCCACAGCAGCCGCCGCTACCGTCGTCGGGGGATGCAACGGATTACGCAGTAATACGGTAACGCTTATATCTCCCCGAGGCTCCCGGCGGTGTCCTAAGAGTTGGAGAGATTGTTGTCATTTATGATATTACGACGAACAGAGCGCATTACACCCGCGAATTTCTCTCCATCGAATATTTAACAAAGAGCGATTTGTTTGAAAATAATTTTGTTCCTGTTAATTTTGTTTCTGTATGTGTGTATCGAGTTTTGCTATATTTTTTATTTGAAACATTAAATAAACATACACAAATAGCGGAAAATGCTTTCGACTCGTCTTCCACAAATGACGCTCGTGCAAATAGTCAAACTCATTTTATTTGTTTTATTTTACAAAAACTCTGATAAGCGCGGTCGTGTAGGATGCATTCGTGATTCTCTCATTTCCTTCCGATTTTTCCCGATTGAGTGGCATCGACAGTCGACGGCCGCAGACTCGACGATATCATGAAGGACGGCGGCGCAGAGCGTGCGGGCTGGCCATTGTCGGGCGTGTAACGAGGGGCAATTTTTGCAGCGGCGAACAATATGTCGCATTAACGTATTGTGCTCGCGCGACATCGACATCGTCCGATGCTGTCATGCGACACGCCGGTATCGCAATCTAGATGTCGCCGGGGCGATTTGCATTCTCGTGAAAAGGCGAATTGCGACCGCGTATTCCGCGACTGCGGAATCTGTGGAGCAGTTTTTCTTTTTTTTTTTTCTTTTTTTTTCATGCAAAAAATCGACTCAAGTAGCACGATAGAAAAGCAAATCACGCAAAACACAGCGCCGAACTTTATTTTTTTTTTTCGCGCGCGATGTCGCAATATTTGACGTAACTTTCTTCAAGTTGTAGAACGTTTGCGTAAATCCGGCAAGTGGGATTAAAGAATTAGCGGAGACACTCCAGTGAGACGACAAGTCGAAAGATTGCACAGTTTCCCGGCAAACGTTCGATTCCACGAGTAAACGACACTTTGGTCGGTTTGGTTTCGCGCTCGAACGGATTCAAAGGCGTTTTCTCTCGCGCAACACGTGCGCTTTCATCGTCGCTCCAAAAACAATCACTCGCTCGTCGCGAGCAAATAGCAGTAGCTCGCGGTTGGTCGCTCTCTTCGGGGGAGCTTATTTGCCTATGCAAATCGCCAATCAACGACGTTTCTCTCTTACGGTTTCCCGACATGTTCGTTTCGAGACGAATTTACACGGTTCGCTTTCGAAGGGGAAAGAAAAAACTACGAATTGTGCTTAAAAAACATTTGTCATTTGCACAAATGATCTTCCTTTATATTGAATAAATTCGAATTCGCGCACGTCTTTTTTCCAGCGAGCTCGGAAGGAAAAAAAAACACATTTCGCTCGTTCGTTTTTTTCTCCTTTGCGTTTCTCGTGCGTTCGCACAACACGCCCTTTAAGCTCAAACGGTAGTGCATTTTTCACGTCAAAGCGCGTTTTTCATACGCACGTGACTGGGAGCGCAAAAACAGACTGGAAATGCGCTCGCGGCCCGCGACCGCGCGCGGCGTTCCCCAAGTCGGAGACACCGCGACAAAGGCTGAAATTACAATTTAAGCTCTCGACGTTGGGACGCGAAAAACGTGCGTCCAGACGGACAATTCGAGTTTGAGATAATATATAGCGTTTGTTTTTTTTTTTTTTTTTTTTTTAACAGATCAAGCGTGTCCGGCAGATTCTGAAACCTCAATTATACGAGAGAAGTTTTTTTTTTTTTTTTTATACACGAGCGCATCGAATGTGTACATTTTGCGAAATCCCTTGTATCCGCGCGAAAATAACGAGAAAGCAAAGATAGTGCGTATCCCAATAACGAATGCGACGCGAATTTCTGTTTAACGATCGTGTTTCGACGAACGATGCGATATTTGCGCGGCGCGTTCCCGTTTAGCTTGCGACTCGTTTGCGAAGGGTTTTGAATATCGCATTAACGCGAAACGTTTCGCGAATCTAATTTTAAAGCCACGAATTTTGCAGTCGCGAACGACTCGGTAGAACTCGATTCGGTAACAATGGAGAAAACGGATTAAGCACATCGACTGTGTTTCGAACTTATAAAGGACACCGTCGTCTCGGCGCGCATTGCGCGCAACGGAATCCTATTTCGGACTTGTACAAAGAGCGCCATTGTCAGCCAACCACGCGAATTACTTCGTACGCGAATTGCGAGTTACATGTCATTTTGCGACGAGCCGGTGTGTGGTCTCATTTGTTCCGTTAAAAACGAATGAATTAACGAGAAAGCTAAGAAAAAAAATTATCATCCACGAAATGTCGCGCAAACGCGTCTAGTTTTTGTTCAAACGCATTTCTTTTTATGTATTTCACTTCGTTAATTCGTTTTATCGACAATACGGTTCAGAAGACTCACAATAGTTGCGCAACGCGGTTGAGAGATTATCACTTGTGACAGGACTGTTTTTCTCAAAACCTATCACGATTCCAAAAAAGTGCAATTATCATTGATCAATCTCTAAATTTCGTTGCGTAACTGTTGTGTTTTCCGAGCGTAATCCAAAAGTTCTCACTTGTCAGCGGTAAAAAGTTGACTGCGCCGCTTCTACACGCGCGACTTCGACGACGACGACTTTTATATAGTTTCGCTTGCCCGCGGGGTGCGACAATATTATCTTTGCACGTCATCGTCAATTAACGTCGCGGTCATGGTCACGATGTTTAAAACATCATGTTTGCAGGAGTTTCTCGCTCCTGCTTTGTCCCGTCGTTAATTAGTTTCTCGCCCTAGGCGTTGACTTAAACGTCTTGCGAATCATCTGGTTTTCAATGAAACGAACAACGAGGAAGTGAAAGACAAATAAAAATTTAAAATTCACGTTAAACATTCACACGCGTGAAGTCACTAAGAATGAGAGCGTCACACAAAAGAGTAGCTTTAATTAGTTTCTTATCTTCGTATCAAAATGTCGCGCCACAACAATAAATAATGCATTGTCATAAGAAACTAATAACGGCTTAATCTTTTTATACATTTTTTTATTTCTCTAATTTTACAGAGTGAAGGTGTGTGTATATTAGGAACATTATGTACATACTTCGTGTTCACCGTAGCGACAAAGATTTGCAGCGGAGGCGAGAAAGCCCGCGCAATATAATCCGCGGAGTCTCCAGATCTCGCGGATTTAGATGGCTGTTAGCGCACTTTTCATCCTTAGGAGTGAGACACGGGCGTGATGGCGTCTCGTCGGGGGTTGATGGCGCTCCGCGGGCGACGATGTTTGTCTTCGTTTCATCGTCGTTGCATAATCATTGCTCCGGAGAGGACGGCCGTCCCAGAGATATCTCTTATTCTCTCTCTCTCTCTCTCTTTCTTTCTCTCGCCCTTCCCTCACGGCCTTCACGGAGAGGTCCCCCGCAGTCGCGATACGCGGATCCCGGAAACGGATGGAAAACAGAAAGAAGACAAACAGCGGTTGCCTGGGGCGGATGATTAATTTCCCCGAGCGCACGCGCTCTCTCTTTCTCTCTCTCTCTCTCTCTCTTTCTCTCTCGGCGCGGCCGGCTTTTGCCGCGGAAAACTGGAAGCTGCATATTTCATATGCGCGTTAACTCGTCGCGTGGCGAACTTAATTTTCCCAGCGAATTTCATTATGCCTTTCGTTTATTAGGCTGCCTTTAATGCGGCGACGGTTGGGCGCGCGTTGGGGATTTTTGATGACGTTAATTTCGGCTGTAATTGCGGACAGAAAACGCGAATGGCTCTCAGGGGGTGAGTCTCGTGATGCCTCTGATAGAATCATCACGAGATTCCGCGCTCGTAACAACGCGCATAAAAATAATGCACGATTTAGGATGTAAATACGTAAACTCCGTTATATATTCTTGTGCTAAGTAAACGTGTTTTCAAATTAACGTCAATATCCGAATAAAAATTATTGCAACGTAGAACATACCGAGTGGAAAGAATCGAAGAAGAGATTTACGAAAAAAAAGTTGTAATTTAGATATGAGCATAAGCTTGCTTATTCGAAATCTTTATTTTGCGCGCGGTGTTTGAGATTTAGACCTTTGCAGCTTCGAAAACTTTATCGACGCTATTTAAATAATATCGTTCTCATATCGCGAGAAGAGATACATGTCAGATAGTAAATATAGGTGGTAAATGAAAGAGCTTCGCCTCATATTTACTGTCGTCGTTACTTTTTATTAGCACAAATAAACCAGTTTCTGCGGAAGGTGCATCGAACTGCAAATACGTCTCGAACCACTCGAACGAACCCTCGCATATGGTTTACAATTTTTCGCGATACATATGTATTTGATACACACGTACATACTTAGTTCTCGTTTATAGATCACGATCAAGTACACACGGAAAAAGATTTTTGCTGCAATTGCAAGATGATCGGTTACTGTATCGTCAGCAGAAAAAGAAGAAAAAAAATTTGCCAAGCTCGTTGTTTTGTTTCATTATCAAAACAAAACGTTTTTTGTATGTTACGTTTGTAATTTTAAACTTATAAATATAAACACAACGCAAGCATTGATAAGATAACGTGAGGTATTAACTTGCAACTATTCGCATCATCTCTGCTGAGGGTGATCGCGTTCTGCGTCGGCGGTGGATCGGTGAACAGATATTCTATCGGTTCCGTTTCCGGTACGTCTGCCATCAATTTCTCCCAGAACTCCATTCTGTCTGACAGGAAATCGGCTTGCACCATAATATCCGGCGACTTGTCAATTCCGAATCTCATGAACCGCTGATACTCGCGATAGTCAGGCCACTCGGGGGCCTTGCTGGCTCTCGGCGTTCTGTGAATAATTAATAATCATTACGATCCGTAAAATCGATCACTCGGAACAGAATCACCACTTATCGATTCGTGCGCTGCTGCGCTGACCGTGGCACGCACGGATGACGATGCATGCAAACGCGTGTGCGGAACGTAATATGCTCGTGCTTTTACTGGTTAGGAGCTTTGCGAAATTGGATTAGTTTGAAACATAGTTTTTAATAAAAATTAATTTTGTTAATTTCTTAACGACATTTTCTAAATACATGTATATTTACCCTTCTATCACGAAATTCGCATACATTTCCGTCATGACGTCAATCATCGCGTAATCAGCCTTGGTATTGTGCAACTTTAAATCTCTAAACACGTAATTCCAATTGGGAAATAAATAGTCGAGATCGTCGCCGTGGGCTACACCTGGCGGCAGACAATTAAATCGAATATAGGAACGAGCACAAATTGCGGTTATATGTGTCGGCAATCTCCGGTTATTGTTGTACGTACCGAAATAAGTTGTATTGTAAGCGAAGGTGGATGAGAACGTGCCTTCGTAGCAAAAAAAAGAAAAGTAAATGCTGGAGTTGCTCATTTTCGACAGATATTTCACAAGTCGGAACACGGGCCATATTATAGTGTAGTCACTTATCAACTGGCAACATATAAGTCTCGTAAAATACATAATGTTGCAAATCGCATTTAACATCTACGTTCGAAAACTCACATTTGTTAAATTTTGCACAGAATTCGACGTGAAGGTTCCGTTGAAATAAAATTCCTTTATCGCGGTCATGTTGAAATCCGCTGGATTTCCGCGATATTCCACAATAATTGAGAAGATGTTATCAAAGTCTTCCAATGTCTCCTTCTTGATAACGGGATTTGTAATAAATTCTGAAATACGTGCGTGACACACGGGAAAAAAGATTTGTTAGAATAGCGAGAAATCGGTTACTTATATCGCCAGCAAGAAACATTGTTGCTTATTGAGAAATTTTTGTTATTAATTGCTGAAATATTATCGTGAGAAGTGAAATAACTGAAAATTACCGATTGACTTCATCAAGCCTTCGTCTCTCACGATTTGTATAATTGCTGGCATACTGCGAAATCGTCCCTCTTCCAACACTTTTATCGGATTCATCGTTATGATAGCATCCTCCGAATCATCCTCCACCACCGGATTGAAGACGATCCACGGGTTTTTTCTCCAAACATGCTGAAACAATTTAATATATTTGTAGGTCTTTTTTCAACAAAAATTTTTAAAAAACGCTATTATTATACTCACATATTCGTCTATCATATTCACTAATTTCTTCGCATCCACTTTTCTCATGCACTTTATCATCTCCGTGTCGTCCTCCTCGGTATAGCTGATGTTCTTAAATGAAATACCGGTTTTCTCAATACTTTTGGTCTTTGGTTTATTGGTCATAACTTGGTCTTCGTATCGTTTCGGTAGGCAGCCAACTAGTCTCGCCATTCGTAAACCAATTTGTTTATAGCTCTTACTAATTCTGACGGCCCACGAACTTACAACACTACCGCTGAGCAAAATGTACTTGTGAAAAAGTCCTTCCGTATTATTCGAGAGAGCGAGAAAATTCACGATCGCGGATCCGGCACTGTGTCCCATAATGGTTACCGATTCGGGATTTCCTCCGAAGTTGCGAATGTTCTCTTGTATCCATTCAAGAGCCATCTTTACATCTTTGAGGCCGTAATTGCCTGGCGCAACTTTGTTCATCGTGCTAAGAAATCCTAAATAGTGGTTGCTACGTTATTTGCGTATGTTTTTGGTAAATAAGTTTCTATTTTGCTTTAAAAAATCTCTAAGCATGTATTGTGTATATTTGTTTTCTCTGTCTCACCTAACACATTTAGTCGGTAATTTAGCGTGACGAGTATCACATTTCTATCCAATAAATAAACGGGTGCGTACATATGGCTATCGCTGCTACCGCCGAAAAATGCACCCCCATGCACGAAGACCAAAACCGACAAGTTTGCAGTTCCTTGCTGGTTGGTCGAAATCTGCGAGATTTTTCCCGACGAAAATGCGAAATTAAAGAGTTGTTACGCAAGTAAGATCGTGTGAAATGTTGAAATGAGTGTTATCATTAAGTGTGTCTCGAAACTAGAATGAAATTTTGAGTCGTTTAAAATTAATCACATCAAGCTTATTTACTTAAATTTAAACGACAGATTTGTTTGCGGTACATCGACGCGGTTTTATTTGACTAATGCAATAATCTGTGTGATAGCAGTTTTATAATGATAACATAATATCTCGATAACACGTTTATATTGCTGTTGTAAAACGTCGATTTTCAATAAATGGAAAATTACAACTGCAACGTGTAACATGTGATATTTCTTGTTACATTTTATTACACTTTGCGACAACAAAAATGTGTTCGACTGTGTTCGTGAAAATATATTTACAACGTTTTCATCAGTATAGTGCTATCTAGTGTATAATACTATCTAGTCTATAGTGCTATTTATATGTTAAGTTTTATATTTGCATTTCCTATCTGTATATTTACATAGAGTTTATCACAAGCTTCGATCACAGTCGAAGTTTGCAAGTCAATGTATTGATATCAACCAAGTTTGTTTACAAAAATAACATAGCAAATTGCGTACTTACATGAGGAACATAAACGTTTAAGTAAAGGCAATCCTCACTGCCAGAAAATTCATCGGTTAATCTATTCTTTTGAATGCAGCTTGAACCATCGATCGTGGCATTGCGAACCGTCGTCCACGCGCGATCCCATCGTTGCGGATTCTAACGCACAGATTTTCAAAATTTACGATCAAGAGCAATTGTAACATTTATATGTCATTATATGTCAGACACGTAGAGATCAAAAATAATTCGAACTTCTTATTTAGAGACTTCTACTAACGCTCTAAATATATCGCCGTAAAAAAACAATTAAATGGAGTCAAAAGATCAGAGACATCAAAAACCAAGAATATATGTTCGATGTGTGTATTCGCTTACAAAAAAATACTTAGAAGAAAGATAACGAGGAAAGATACCGAGAAAGAAAAAAAGACAAATATGGCGTTGCTTAATATTTCAATATCTTGCTCTGAAAGCAATCAAAATATATTATATAACAAAATATATTATGTAACATATATTTGGCGCTCGCGAGATTAATTATTTATTGAAATTTTCACGCGAGCCGGAATATCAAATCTAATTGTTTCTCGAATGTGCTCAAGTTTTGACTTTCGCAAAACGTTTTTTTTCTTTACATTAATGCTACTATTACATACGTACTCTGAACCTCAACTCGCCTACTGGTGGTATCGCGTACGGTATCCCGAGAAAATTTGCAATCGCTCGGCCTCCGTTGCTTTTGCTCCACTTTCCGCGAATCGGACCCCATTTTGTGTCGACCAGCGGCTCGGAACTACTGAGTAAACCGTCGGTGACGACGAAGAAAAGCACGAGAATGCATGTATTCTGCACAATTCTCCCGTTCATGTTAAAAACGCAACTTGAAGATGGTCTTCGTGGCCGATCGCACAGTTTTCGTCGAATGATGCTGAACAACTGCTGGTTGCGCACGTTCGTGTCGCGTGCAGAACGTGCTCAAACTAACTAACTGCGCGTGGCTTTTTATCTTACAATTTTAACATCACATTATCACCAAACGGGTCGATTACACACGCTCGAATTTATTGTGCAATAATCTCAGTGTGTATACACAATCATTAATATACGGATTAATATACGGTAGTTTTTATGATACACTTCTTATTAGATGGATAATGTGTGTTTTGCGATAATTTGCATGGCTCTCTCTCGTTCGTTAATAAATTATTCGCTTCGTCGAATAAATTTGCTCTTATCAAGTTGCTTAATTAGGTCATATATTACTTGCCGTTGCGAAACTTGACAACAACGCTGTCGATAAGTAGGTAATGTTTCAGACTCAACTGAACATTGCAATGATAGGAAAAAAGTTGATGAGCTGCGTAACTGTAATTTACGATTATAACATTCGGATTTCTCGACAAGCTCAGATCCGCAAATAGCGACGGCTTGTCTAACGGTCGCAAGAAAACAGACGTATCAGCTGATACGAATGTTTAGAGCAGCAACATTTCTCACATGAATTGTTTTTCAGTGGGATTTCACAGAATTGCTCTCAAATTGCTCTCACACAGTGAAATCTTTCTTATCGCGAGCGTAAGAGCACTAGGGCTATCGCATACAAAACGACAGATCATTGCATGTGCACATAGCGTACAACCATCTCCGACCAATGAACATCTAGTTTTGCGCTCTGTAAATCAATATGGCGCCTCTATGTTTATTGGTCTTATGCTGTGCATATGCGCGCTGTGCAATGGCGTTGCCACTTGTGAACTAAGCTTTTCAAAATTAAAACGTTGTTCTCTATCGAACGCAGCAAAAGATATCGATGTTTCGGATAACATTTTGATTTGATTTTTTGGTTTAATTGAAACTTCAGTTTATTTAACAATACAACGGTCGTCTGCCACGTGGTGCTACGACAGTGCGTTTGAACAGCGCGCTACAAGACGCGCTAATTCAGTCGTTCAGGGAGCTATTGTGGCGCTCACACATTGCTGCACGAACGACTTTTGTTGTATTGCGAGCAACATGGCGAGCACGAATGAAAACAATCGCACTGACTTGACAAGATGCAAAATAAACGCTTCAATTGAAAGAGTTGCGTCTGTCAATCAGAGATTTGTCAGATATCTGCTGACTATCGGTAGCACGTGGTGACAGCGTGCGAATGAAACAACTTGATAAGATACTTGTTACCTATCGAGAGGGAGGGAATTGTATACGCCCTGGGCGTGTTTTCCTTTACTATACGCCACACCGGTCTTTATATCACTTATTCACAAGCGGGATCTTTATCAACTGTGACGTATTATTAAGCGAGAGGTAATGCGGCTTTTGGCGGAGCTTAGTTACACACTGCACATTATTATAGATGAGCAACTTAACCTGAGCTACCCGGTAACCCCAGTAACCTCGTTCTATTATTCAACGCGCTGCACTTTAGCTCTCCGCCGTGGCACATTTCGCAATGTTAACAATCGCGCACGGTTATTTGATGAGCTCCGTGTAATATCTATTTTATAGCCATTGTGTTGTAACGGCGAAATTAAACGATAATTTGTAAGAAGGGGGGCTAATCTAAAAATAAGGAGAAGTTTCTGACGTGTAACAGCGAATTAAACAATTTTGTTGTGCGCGAGAGAGAACTTTTTACGCGAAATTAATATTAATGTTCTATACATTCTCTAACTTTTGAATTTTTTAATTTCCTTAAGGAAATTAAAATTTCCTCAACGAATTTTTAAGGAAACCGTCTTTAAGTCTCGTATAATTTTTTTCGAGATTCAATAAAAAACGGGAAGCGGAATTTTTAGAGCTTCCTCCGCGCGACGCAAAGCTACCGATTTTTTTTCGGAAGCTCGAGATGCGAGAGGGACTTTGAGGAGCGATCGTTCTTTATTTACCCTCAAGTCGAGCGACCGTCTAATTCGGGTTTCGCGCTGGTGCTCTTACCGCATCCCGTGGGTTTTCTTGTCGGTTTTCTACGTAGACCGTCACCGCTGCCACCGCCGCCGCCGCCGCCGCCGCCGCCGCCGCCGCCGTCGCCGCGGCGGAGAATCCGCTTCCGGGCGGGCGGGCGGTGGAGGACCTAACAATTTCCTGACAAGGGGTTTCCCTTGGGAGTTTCCGGTCCGTTTCCGCGGAATCTCTACGGCACTCCTTCACTCGTTACGCGTCGTTTGCCGAGCCGTTTATCTCCTCGTCATTAGTTATGCCGTGTTACTCGGCCGCAAGTTTCCCTCGGTTCCCTCTTCACGATCTCTCTGTCTCTCCTTCTCATCATATCTGTGTTATTCGTCTTCATACGCGTCTTGTTGTTGCGCGACAGTAATGATAGAGCAGATATGACGTAGTTCCAAAGTTTGAGCGCTCGACACAGATAAAATCGGAATCTCTCTCTTAATATGTAATTTTTCTATACCCGCGGAGAGCAGTCTCTTCGTTTCACCGACAATGGATAACAACACGCTCACGATACGCGTTTCTCTCAATTCAATAGGTGACGATATTGCAGTATAATGCACCGAGTACATGTGTACACGTCGCATAGACGAGAACACAAGAGCGTATTTTAAAATTTATTAAATTTTCTCGATCATCGCGCGCACTATTTCTCGTGTAATATCGCGAGTTTCGAGTAGCACAAAGGGTCGTTGCATCGAGGGTAAGCCGTGCGTCAATATGATTTAATATCAGCAACGTCTCTCCACGTGTCCACGTGCACGCGATAGAGAACATCGTGTTTGATTAAAGGCGAACGCTGCGGCGGATTATGCATTCGTCTATTTGTCGCGTCGTCGGACTAATTGCAGCATGCAGGCCAGCTATGTATCACAACGACAAGAACCCGTCCTCGGAAATAGTGCGGCGCTTTCGCCATGGACTTCGCGGACTAGTTCTGTCATTCTTAATGACGTCACGAAACTTCGTTTATGTACCTACCGTGTTTAAAATTCACTAGGTTTGGACGCGTGTCCAAAATTTGTTGTACGTTATTATATTTTGTTATAAACGCTCGCGACAGAGTGTAGATGTCGGAAAATGCAGTTGCGAACACTTCTTTTTTTTTCGTGTATCAAAAAGCACCGCGGGAATCCAGTTGTAAAATTATTAAAGTAGGTTGAGTCATTTAATACCGCGCGATTAAAAATCGAGACCGCCGAACGCCTTTATTTCACTTTTGTTGTCTGCGTTATCTGCGCCTCCGCTCTGCGGAGGGCTTGATTTTTTCGAACGTGCGTGATGCAAGCACTGAGAGCTCTTTTTTCCAGTGCCTTTCGCGTTTTATTAAATAAAGAGAGAGAAAGAGAGAGAAAAAAAGAGATATAAGTAACTTTGATCGCAAATGCATTAAAATAATGAAATACAAACCGTGTATTTTTCGGGCGCGCTCGGAAATTTTTTAGAGAACGGAGAGAACACAATGGGAAGCGCGGTTTTTATCGCAGCCGCGCGTAAATCTCGCGAGAATCGTGATGACATATTTGCGTAACGAGACGATTTCCAGGAACGAGCCGGCCGCAAGTTTTTTTTCGCAACGCGATGCCGTCATCGTCCGCTCGGTGCATTCTGGCGTTAATTTGCGCGCATCCGCGAGTTTGCAGCTGTGAGCGCGACTCGCAAGCGAACCTTCTTGATTCGGAGCATATAAACGCTTTTGTTTGTCACGTATTCCTTTTGTTTTATGCAATATGGCGCGGCGGCTTTGCTGCCGCAATTCACGCGTTTAATTATATCAATAATGTTGAATTCAAACGTAAACATTGTTGCGCGCGCTCACACGCGCGTAAGAGCGCGCGATTAAACGCGAGAAAACGAATTCAGTGCCGATGGGAAATTACGTTGTAATGCGTCACGCGGCTAAACGCAGGGACGTGCATTAAACGTCGCGAAACAATGAATTACCGGCGCGAATGCGCTCGCTACCGTGAAATAATTAATTGTAATGTTATTTATCGGCACGCGGAGGCGAGGGAGTTCGTTTTCCGTACATAGCGCGCGTCGTCGTCTATGCTCGCGAACGACATCATTATTATGCATCCCAGCTGGATATATCCCGTTACTTTTTTATTGTTGTGTGTTTTATTCTCGTTTAATGTCGTCGTTGAAAAGCGTACGTTCCCGTAAAAGGATTACGAACAAAGGGAAAATGAGAGCGCCGGGTCAAATGAGAACTGCACGTCTTGTTTTTCCTCCTCTTTGCGCTCTGAAAGAAAATTTGGTTTCGGGCGGAATCGCCGACGCGAACAAACGCTCAGAAATGAAGAACGTAAGACTATAAGACCGAAAATAAAATAAAACACGTGTTTTTCTGTATGTTTCGGCGATCATACAATTGATTTTTAAATAACTAATATATTCAATCAATTTGTGAGTTTCTTGATTAGATGTGTTCACACGTTTTGATGTGTTATAAGAATCTTTACGCTTTTCATTTTTCTGACTTCTCTTACTTGCAAAACGCGACTTATATCCACTTCGCTGGGGTAAGTTAGACGCGTGAATTAATCAAATATCTCCGCACGGTAATGATCTTCTTCGTCGAGGGGAAACGAAACGCGGGAGAAAAAAAAATACACGTGACACGATGTTTTCAGTGGCGTGACGGGTGAGGCGTTTCAAATGTCTCGAGACGCACATTTTATTCCCGCGAGTATACGCGTTTGTCGAACGCGTCATAAGCACTCCTCGTACGTATTCTTCCCCCTTGGACGCATTTGAGAGTGTTCAAGGGCAAAACATCTCGGAGGTGTAAGGGTGAATAATACATGGAAACTCCGTCCAAGTGAAAAATAACTTTCACCATTCATCTCTGTTTACGACACACTTATTGTAAGGTACAAAGTTCAGAAGCCTCTGAAATATTTCTGACAGATGTGTATACGTATCATCTCCATCGCCTTTTTTTTTGTACATGTCCCTCTCTCGTGTCGTCGAAATATCTCACGACTCTTCGAAATGTCTTTTTTTATTTTTCACGACGACCAAAAATCGATTTTTCACAAGCTGCGGAGAGGCTTCAATTTTTCACCGAATGCAAATTTTCGATTTGAAACGATTCCTTTAGTCATGATAAAAAAAAAGAAAAAGATACTTACCCTCCGGAAGTTTCCCTTTTATCGCTGATGTAATATCGCTGTTGCTGTCGTTACACAAGTTAGCCATA